TCCGAAAAAGGAATGACGCCACGAATCAAACACAAGGCTTTGCCGTGATATATGGTGTTTTTTTGGCCACATGGGGTCGTTTAGCTTTCCAAAACGCATTTAAAGAGTTGAAAGTATTGATTTTGATGTTGTTTTGTTTATTTTGTTTGGTTAATTTGTTCTACATAAACTATTTTGTTATTTGAATGCAATTAACAGTGAATGATTTGTTGCTACCTTAAGGTTAACTGTTAAAGTATTGCATTCATAACAGTGATGTCTTTTACCTGGAGTAAAAGAAAGGATTTTGAACAATCCTATAAGTTGGACTAAAGGAATGATCATAGTAGTTATGTCAATTTGGTTAGCTATGATTGTTCTATGATTTCAATCTTGATGGCAGTCCTATGTGACATTGGATTTGATAACTGTAGTTGTAAAGACTTCATGGAAGTTTCTTTGCTCAGTCTTGATAACTCATTATCATTTTCATTGTTGACAAGTGGCTTGATGAGGAAACAAAATCGAACTGTATTCCACAAGGCCTTACAGTAATTGACATTGTTCTTTAGTGATTATTTGACCAAGTGGGAGAATGTAAGATTTGCATTCTAATACAAACTCTAAGATGGTCTTCTAATCACTTAAGGATAACTAGTTCAATATCAATTAGGATTACATGGATCGATTAATTTTAAGGCTTGATATATGACTGTTTCAGATAAATACAAGTGCTTAAGGTTTCCTAACTCTAAATGGATTGAGATACCCAATCCTTTTGGTTAAAGGAGTTTAAGTAATCCATGATGAGGAGGATTCTTAAACTATACCTATAAAAGGGAGATCCCTATGCTAACGGCTAAATAACATTCTCATATCATTCTACCCCATCAAGAAGAGATTCAAGAGCCGTATAGCATAGAGAAACTACCCTACTGCAAATCTGCCTAAACCGGTGAACCAGTCAAAGAGCCTGCTGCAGAATTCCAGTTTCCTTCCAGTGCAACAAATCAAAGTTCGAGTGCAATAATTGTCACAATGTCGGATCAAAATATGTGTTTTGAGTATATAAACCTAGTATGAAATTACAAAAGAAGCCTTGCAAATGAAAAGCTCTCAACGAGAAGGCATGTTGTCCTGAAAAAGGACCACTAATTATTCAGCATTTTCAACTTAAATAGGATGTAAGGTATGGTTAGCTGAACAACCCCAATCGGCATGGCATTCCAATTGGCTCCTATGTCAAAAGTAGGCTTCTTCAGTTCAAAATAAGCAATAAGTATCGATCAAAACTTCAAAACAGAGATTAAACATCCTAACATTTATAACACGAACCTCAAAACAGAGATTAAACATCCTAACATTTATAACACGAACAATTCTAAACACAGAGAAAGGGAGAGAGATGATAAAGCTAGCTTAATTCACTAATCAAATGTAGTAATTGATGAATAATCTCCCTCGTCAACCAAAGACAACCTGTTACTAAGAAAATATACCTTAGTAAGGATGCAACGTTAATGACATATGTGCAGTACCTAGTAAAAATCCAAAGATTAATTAATGGCATGGACCTATTAAAAGTCCCAATGAATCTGCTCCTTGTGCATTGCAACATTATGAATGATAAATATCATGCTCACATCTTCAGACAGATAATAAAAATCATAAGCTCACAGGTTATGAAAGAGTACCTAAAAATGAATATCTCAAACTTCTCTTTCCAGAATGTATAGTTAGGGATTAGTTCGTGTCAATAAATAAAAGAGAAGTGTTAATAGGATCTTTCAACTCGCTCTCTTTCCATGGTCTGACACACCTAAAACCAAAAACTACCCTAGGATCTCTCTATTTATATTATCAGCTGGTGCTCTGAAACCAATTGAGAACATTATGAATAAGGTTTTTAAGTGCACATTCCTCATATGCATCCATGAATATCTCAAACTTCTGTTTTCCAGACTATATAGCTAGGGTTTAGTTCGTGTCATCAAATAAAGGAGAAGTGTTATAGGATCTTGCAACTCGCTCTGTTTCCATGGTCTGACACACATAAAACCAAAAACTACCTTAGGGACTCTCTATTTGTATTAATAGTTAGAGCTCTAACATCAATTGAGAACATTATGAATAAGGACTTAAGCGCAATTGTCTCTGAAGTTATACTCGAGTTTAATTTTGGTCCTCCAACTCATTTTTGTAGTCATTTTGGTCATCCAACTCTTGCACTGGTGGAGTGGAAGGGGAAGTCATGAACTTGATCCAAGCTATTTTTGTTCGACTGAGGAAAAGTCGGTGTTGGGTTGCTTGACAGAGGATTGCAGAGTGTCATTATTTCAAAATTTCAAGGAATTGTTATTATAGTTAATTATGAATGGAGTTTTAAACAGAAAAAACAAATGGAGTTTAATAAAGCCAAAATAATGGCCCATTTCATAGGGCTAAATAGGCCCGACTCATTGGCCCCGCCATGTTAGGTCCATGGGTAGGGCCAGTTCTTTGTATATTTGACATATGATCTTGCCTTTCGATGATATTCTATTCTTCTTTGCATTTTGCAATTGTATTCTATGATCCCATGTACCTTGTTACTGAGGACTTGACAAACTTATATACTGCCCACTTAAATGTGTTGTATGATTAGAAGATTTCCTCACTTTGGAAAAATGATGCATTTGTTAACTCGTTATGCTTCTTTCTCCTGAAATATCAGGGTAGTAGACCTGGCTTTGGTCGTGGTGCCGGTGGATCTGGTGGAGCTGGTGGCTTTGGTGCTGGCCCAGCAAGCTCTGATGTCTCCTAAGGAAATGGTTTACTTAGACAACGTCTGGTTTCCTAAGTTTGCATTTAAGAGCGGATGACATTCTGTATTCGGAGACAATAGCAGTTTTGTTTGATTTGCAACAGTCTTGGGATTGTATTAGATATTTGTTTTTATTCTATATGGTCTTTTGAATCGCACTTTGCAAAATTTATTTTATCTGTCATCTATATATGTCGTTGAGAAATTTTGTAGATGTTTAATAATTATTTTCTTGCGTTTTTTTACCCTCATTTTTGTGCGACCTTTAGTAGCTTGTCATAGTTTAGCTTGGCATCTTTGGACCTTATGGCACAAGCATCATGGTTTAGCTTTAATAAGGATAAATACCAATGAGCACTGATGTGCCTAGCACGATGACAGGCGGTACGGCCTCCTTTATCCTTACTCTTTATATGCACCTATCTTTAGGCCTTTAATGTGTCGACATGTGTAGAAAACAGTCTTAATTTGCAGATGAGTGATGTCAAGTTCGAACATCTATGGCACTTTGGCAATGTGTTTGTGAGAAAATGGTCATGCTTCATCCTAACTTTAGCCACACAAAAAAGAAGCTCGAGGCTAAAGAGATTCATTTTCCTTAATTTTGTGAAGTAATCAATTGGCGGATATTTTGATAAGGGCGATTTCCAATAGAGCGTTCCACAATTTGGAGGCTTTGGTGGCGGCTGATACCAATATCATGTTCGCCAAGTCGGAGTGTCTCTCGACCTTCATTTCATCAGCAAGCCCGAGTTTTTTCTTGGATGGACTCGAGCTGAAAAGTTCGACAGTGATGGCAACTTGGTTGATGCACAGGACAAGGAGAGGTTGAAGGAAATTCTTCTGACTTTGCAGGAATTCACTTTGAGGCTTCAAACAAAGTGATGAGAGGCGCTCTTTCGTGTTTCAAACCGCTGACTTCTAGGGCACAATGGAGGTTGCAGGTTTCAAGGTGCTGAAGTTGTTGTATTGCAAGAATTTGAGGGGGTTTTTTTGGTCGACAAGAGATTTATTTGTTTATTCCTAATTGATTTGTGTTATGTTTCTATGGGCATGCAATGTGCTAATAAAACGTATTCATTGCCCAGGAAAGTCACTATATCTATAATAATTCAAAAAAAATGTATGCACTATAAGATTTGCAAACGTTAGCAATGTTATCTATTGTGAAAAATAAAAAGCAGACCAGTTCTCTTTATCGAAGTAGCTCACAGAAAATGGCTGCTGTGTATCACTCAAGGTCTTTCTCTTTTTGCACTTGTCCAATATCTACAAAATATGCACAAGGTCTCTCTGGACAGCCTCTGATCCCACAAAATATATTGCAACTTAACCACGTATAAGAAGCATTTCCAGCCTCCAGTAGAAAATTTCGAACAGAAAAATCATTGCGAATCTTTATGTAACTCATGAATTTTCCATTGCACTTGAGATATGTTGAAAGTCTATTGACTCAGCAGACAGTTGAAGGCTGATGTTCTGTCTCAAATGATGATGAAGTGAGTGAGCCATACCATGTATGAACATGCTTGGTCTGTCGGGAGAGGTGATTTCTTAGTTTGCTATTTACAGGGTACCGCTGGACGGCTTTACTCTAAAATATTCTTTTTTGGGGGTATAGCCGTCCGGCTATACTATTAAGATATTATATTTTTAGAGTAGAGCCGAACGGCGGTACTTATTCTAAATGTATCGCCGTGCGGCTATTGATCGGTGCATATTTACATATCATTTTGTACCCTTCTAGCTTATGATTTGGTTATGTTTTTGAGTTAAACTTGTGCTTTTAATCCTTTTTGTGTTTATCTTTCAGTTCATTGAGCTTTAGGTAATAATGAGGGCTTTGGATAGTAAATGATGCAATCCATGCATGTTAGGGCCTAATTTGGATGAATGGATGAAGAGCTTAAAGACAAACTCAATTTTGGCTACAGTCCCCTGCCAGCCCAGTTTCGTAGGTCATATTGCAAGCTTTGTTTCAGCAACCTACATAGCTCGGATGAGGCCACATTCTTCATGAAAGTTGTTCCAATGGGTGTTTAATATAACATATCCAAAATTCAGCCCCATTGGATAAATCTGGAGTCTTTTTAAAACTGAGAAACACAACTTTCAGTAAAAAAATAATAGAACAATAGCAACGTATCCACCGTTAGCAAAAGCCAAAACAAAGTATCTCGTTGGTGCGCAATTTGTAAATTCCTACGTAAATTCATACCTGTGGCAGCTGTCAGTTGGGTGCCATGCATAAGTCCTTCCGGCTCAAGGTTGTGGGTACGCCCCAGCGCTGGTGGTGAGAGTAGCCAATCTCCCCCTAAACTTTTTTTCATCAAAAAGAGAAAACCATTACAGAACAACTCAAACACCAAATGAGCAAAACAGAAGCATTCCATCAAAAAGATCTAAATTACAGCTGCTTACCTATTTGAATAGAAATCTTGCTGAAAAATTAATCTACATAGACCCTTACGGAGAAAGGCATTTACATTGAAGTAAGCCGTTAAGGTGACATCTATGATTGCAGCATCAGCTTAAACTTGGAAATCATGTATGGTTGCCTACACGAGTTGTCTTGTCCTCCAGACATGGGAGAATTTCTCAAGTCTGCAAGTACACATGTAACATCTGAAGTCTCATGAAATGGAACTTTGCAGCTAAAGGAATGATTTGTGGGACAAAAAGAGAAAATCGTTTGCACATAAGATATTATAAATGCAATATATATGCCAATTACCATAAGAATATCTCAATCATGTTGGAAGATGCTACTCCTGGAAATCAGGAATTAGGCTCGAAAAACAGGTTAACTGATCCTTAGTTGATATACATACCCTCTAGCTATGTAATATGCCTTCAACTTATAGTCCTATTTCTGTATCTTTGTAAATTGTGCATATGTACAAAATTTATTCCTTTTTTTTTAAAATGAGAAACACAACTTTCAGTAAAAAAATAATAGAACAATAGCAAAGTATCCACCGTTAGCAAGCCAAAACAAAGTATCTCGTTGGTGCGCAATCTGTAAATTCCTACGTAAATTCATACCGGTGCCAGCTGTCAGTTGGGTGCCATGCGTAAGTCCTTCCGGCTCAAGGTTGTGGGTACGCCCTGGCGCTAGTGGTGAGAGTAGGCAATCTCCCCCTAAACTTTTTTTCATCAAAAAGAGAAAACCATTACAGAACAACTCAAACACCAAATGGGCAGAACAGAAGCATTCCATCAAAAAGATCTAAATTACAGCTGCTTACCTATTTGAATAGATGACAGAGAAAGAAAACTCCCTGAACCCTCTTCCACAACTGATCCACACTACCTCTCACTTCATATCATCAAAGACCCTCCTATGCCTATTACACCAAACAGCCCAGTAAATTGTCATTATATCATATCTCCCAAAACCGTAGTCCACTTCTTTCCTCTAAAAAATTTAAGCTTCACAAACAACAATGCTAACACGAAGCAGGGTTAATCCAGCTCAATCTTACCTCCTTAACCCGCCGCAACCATATAGATAAAGCTGCTAGGCAATGAAGCAGCAGACGGACCAGGCAGATAGGGAAAATAAATTCCTTCATTGTTGAAGAACAATGGGATGAATGAACACTTTTGAAAAATTGTATGAAATAAGATGGCTCCCATCCTTACTTTTTATTCCGTGTGGCCGACTCCTTTTAACAGTACAAAAACAAAAAGAGAATAATTAATTACATAATAGAGTCATAAAGGCCCCAGTTGATGCTGCTATTAATCTAAAGTCTCATATAAAATCAACCAATATGCTCTGGATCACATTTTCTATTCTGAACTCAGTTCCTTTGCAGTTGAACAAAATCTTTTGGTATGTAAGTACATGTCATTCTATACTATATACGATAACCACCCACAAGAAATTGTTTTTGTTACTACTGTTTTTATATATAGAAAGTACAACCAAATAGGAGAACTATCATTAGGAAAGAAAAAATATTACATTCCACAAAACAAAGGACAAGTTATCTACTGGATAAGCTAGACCAAAAATGCTGTACACTCCGTGCCTGTATGTAGGAATGTGTCAATTGAATATTCCAGGTGAACCTTTCCGTTTCTCCACGTCGTGACAATTGTTTTTGTAGAAAAACAAAAGGCTATATACCAGTTAAAGCAGTTATTTGAAGTACATACCTTTGATTTGAGAGTTGAGAGTGAAATATTGAAAAGCAATATCATTTATGTCGAGGCAAGGAATGTGAGATATGTTGGCCCAATCTTGTCCAATCTTTCTTATTCTCACACCTTTTCTCCAGGCCAGAACAGTTGGAGATTCTCAGAAACGAAAGAAATGGCGGGAAACCCTCTTCTGGCAGGAATTGGATACTGTCACACTCACTAATATATAGCTCTTGAAGAGAAGTGAGGTGTCCAAGTCCCTTTCCGTCCAAAGATTTCAGACTTGAAAGTCCCCAGAAGTGAAGAGAGTGAAGAGTGGGAGCAGCTGTTCCTTGAGCAACATCTCCAAGAAATCGTCACTTCCCCTGCCACCAATTGAAGAGTGTTCAAGGGAGAAGAGGCCTTGCGAACCCCAGTACTCTCCCACTGAAGCCCCAGTCTGTCAAAATTTTGAATGCAGAAATAATCCGCCTTCTGCAAATGACACTAAATTTGGAAGTTCAGTCATCTCCAGTGCTGTGAGGGTGTGAATGCTTTGGGAAAAAGACACCAGTTCTGGACAGTCATTGATAGACAAGGTACTGAGATGACTGAGATTCTCATCAACTCCTTCAATGGAAAGGGATTCTAGATTCTCACACTCCCAAATTATAAGAACCGAGAGTTTAGGAAAAAGGCTCAACGGGAACGACCTCATTGAATCACAGCTATTTTGCACACACAAAAACTCAAGCGATGTCAATTTGACCAACATCTCGTGAGGTGGGAATTCTAATCTCCTACATTGGTATGTCACTTTTGGACACAACATAATAATGTCATAAGCTTCTGAGAAATTGTCGGTGAACTTTAAAATCGGCGTTAGAAACATACAAGCTAAAAGTGACAGTGATTAGAGGTCCCCAACGTTGATACCTGCCCATAAAACAAGACAGAATCAAAGAATGGCACGGCCAACCGTTATCCCAAGTGATTAGAGGTCCCCAACTTTAAATTGTCGGTAAATGACAACCGTTATTCCAATTGCTAATGGCAAAGTTTAAGACCCCTCCAGAAATTAAAGGCAAAGAAAAGATCATGCACAGAGCTTTACCTTCATGTGTTTTCTGATACATTATGTGTTCAGGTTCAGCATCTGATTGTGAAATCCTGTTTCTTCTCACCGCTATTCAATATTGACGTTAACCAAAGTGCTTTCTGTTTCTATACCTCAGCTCAGCAAGATACTTCTAAATGCAAAGAAAAAGAAATTAGAAGGTGTTGCAATCATCAGGAAATCTGAAAAGAAAATATTATCGCGAAAATTCTTCGAGAAGAAATCATGTGGAATACTTTTAATATATGTACGCATGCATTTACTGGATTCTCAAATATGAAAACACCTCTGAAAGTCAAAAGAGCACCAAATAAACAACAATAGAGGAATGTGTCAATCCAGATACTCCAGGTGAACCTTTCCATCTCCCCTTGCAAATGTCTATGAACAATGGTAAACCCTACCTTGGAAATGACACGTAAAGGAACCTTGCAAATGAAAAGCTTTCCAAGAGAAGGTGCTGTCCTGCAAAAAGAGTATTAATTAATCAGCATTTGAGACTTACTATAGGATATAAGTTGTGAAGAAATAGAGTAAATAGAAGGAGAGAATTTACTGAGCAAAATAATAATAGAAATCAGATTGAGTTTTTGTGTGTTTTTCTGGAAAATGATTTTGATCAGAAAATAGCATGAGACCAGTAAGCAGCAGTAACAAACAAAAAGCTGAAATTATTTAACCAATATGGGAATGCAAGCTTCAATCTCCTGAATGCATACAATCTCTTGAAATGTTTCCTACGGTGTGGTTATAAGCCAAAAATGAATATGAATTATAAAATAATAAAAAAGTGTTGAACAACAGAAAATGCTATGTATTTTGGTAACTGTAAAAGTTAATTGGATGCAAAATTGATGGCAAATTTGGGGCAATTCAACAAATTTGTATTTCTGTTTATTTGGACAGTGAATTTCAGTTTTTGTATTGAATTGGAAGAAAAGCAGTTAAAGCGGTTATTTGAAGAACATACCTTACCTGAGTTTGATTTGAGAGTTGAGAGTGAAATATCCAAAGGCAATAGAGAGAGAGGGTCATATCATCATATGATGACTTCATCATTTATCCGGATGCATGGAATGTGAGATATGCTGGCCCAATGATCTTGTCCCGTCTTATTCTGATACCTTTTTTCCAGGGCAGAACAATCGGAGATCCTCAGATAAGAAAGAGATGGCGGCAGACCCTCTTCTGGCAGGAATTGGAGACTCGGACAGTCAGAAATATATAGCTCTTGAAGAGAAGTGAGGTGTTGAAGTGCCTTTTCTGGCAGGAATTGGAGACTCGGACAGTCATTAATATATAGCTTTTGAAGAGAAGTGAGGTGTTGAAGTGCCTCTCCTGGCAGGAATTCCAGACTTTTACACTCACGAATAGATAGACTTCGAAGAACAGTAAGGTGTGCAAGTCCTTTTCCATCCAAAGATTTCAGAGTTGAAAGTTCCTCGATGCAGAGAGTGCGAAGAGTGGTCGGGAGCAGCTGTTGCTTGAGCAATGTCTCCATGATTTCATCACTTCCCCTGCCTCCAATTGTAAATTCTTCAAGGGAGACAAGTGCTTGCAAACCCCAGTTACAGTAGTCTCCCACTAATGAAGATGAAGCCCTCAGTCTCTCACAATTCTGAATGCTAAAATATCGGAGGTTAGGAGGCAAACCCCCATCTTCTGCAATTGACTCCAGATTTGGAAGATTGCTTATATTCAAATTTCCAAGAGCTGTGAGGGTGTGAATGCGTTCAGGTAATGACTTCAACTTCTCGCACTCAACAACTCGCAGCGAAGTAAGGTTGGGAGTGGGCAATCCTCCCTGGGGAAAACTCACCAGATTTGGACAATTATAGACATCCAGGCTATTTAGATGACTGAGAACCGCTCCTTCTTCAATCAAGCAAAGCGATTCCAAATTGTCACAATAACCAATATGAAATGTCGTCAATTTGGGAAAAATGCCCAAGGGGAAGGACCTCATTGAATGACAGCT